GCTGAGTTCGATGGTATTTGTGGGTAGTGTTAGGAAGACCATACAACGGGTAATCGTGCGCCCCAAATGAGAATGAGAGAGACGGAGAGGATGAGACCGATCTTGTTTGAGATATTTTGCTGTATTACGTGTCAGAGATACTTCAGGAATGACCGTCCTACGTAACCGGATGCAGCATCATAATCATTTGCAGATTAATATCCTTCTCCTTGCACTGCATCGACTATGTCTGCGACGCGCAAGGCATTGGAGGAGAGGATAGTCTCCAGAGGTGGATATACGGAAGTGTTTGCAGAGCTTGCGTTCGATGGTAGGGGTGATGAAAGTTACGCTGAAGAACGTACTTGTGTACAAGCGTCGAAGCTTTCTGCACAGTCTCCTGCGTGAAGCAGGAAGGCTTCATTACGTTGTACCTGGCCAAGCTGATGCCGAAGGCGTTCAATCTATAGCTCGAGTGAGCACCTAGAAATCACAAAATGCAAGTAGGCGCACCTCCGAGGGCGTTACAAGTGGAGGCAGTTGTTTTATTTTTCCTAAAACCCTACAATGAAGTTTAAGCCCTCGCTTGTGCTTCAAAGGCCCGCGGATACCTCGAGAGATGTTCCGGATCAGGATATGTGACATCCTGAGTTCGATGTTGAGAACAAGCAAATAGTGAGTTTAAGTGGCGCACCTGTGCCGCTGTTTTGTCCTGCCAGGAAGATGGGGACCAATTTATGGGAGACATGGTGGTCAGGGTACAACGTCCGGTGTACATATGACTTGCCTCAGGTTGCATAAAATGGACAGATCGCGATCTGTTCTCTCTTCATCTAATCTTATCGCGACGCCACCAGGGCCGCACCTTGACGCTGGCGCCGAGCGGCCTCGCAAACGTTAGTGGCAACTTCCACTAAGTATACCCTGGGAGGCTGCAAGCGAAAGGGGCTACGTTTAATTGTGTGTCATTTCACTCGAACATTAGTACTTGTCGTAATACAACTTATGCTCGCTCATAGACACCCCGTATCCATTCTCGATGATACTGCAGCATGAAGCCAGCCAACTTGAACGGCGGGACAAGCACCATGTGTCTGCGAGGCCTAACAACCTCGAAAACTAATGTATTTCCATTCGTAGAATGCTAATATTGCCGATAGATACAGCTATCCAACACAGCAAACTCGATAGAACCGCGTGCAACCGCTGTAAGAGACAGAAATCCAGAAAGGTACGCAGATCAATCCCGTCACGGACATGTAAAATTGGATATCCACGATGTGGCAACTGTCTCAATTTTATTTAAGAATATTCAGGAATAATATACTGAGTGGCCCCCGGCCACACACTGCCATTGAAAACGGCCGCGGCCACTCAGTAAAGACAATGGCGGTTAATCGTAGGCCACTGACCTGTCTAGGGTATATATACACCCCTGCTCACTACATTCGACACTAACCCTTCCAACTTTCCCCCGCTTTTACAGCTCTTTTGTTCAGGATGTCTCTCCGCCGCCAACCATCCTCAATATGCACAACGGTGAAAGACCACTTTTTGAAAATAGGTATGAACGCTTCATGCGTATCATCGTCCGGATTCGACGGCGAAGAAACATCTGCTACGGATGGCTCTACCACTCTGTCCCCCGCTGGCTCCTCCATCCACTCTTCGACTCTGTATGCCCCATCTACCGAGAGTTTGCGCTCCTCCTCAGCCACTCTTTCCGTCTCGACATCCGACCTCCCCGGAATCGCCGCTTCGAAGCCACAACATTCGGCTGTTAACCAAAACCGGTCATTGGTGAGCTGTTTGATACGACTAAGCGGACACCTGAGTGTTGACCGTTATGTGTAGCCTGTTGGTTGCCCTATCATGGATCGACACACCCTCGTTAAAATGGTTGAAGGCCACATGTCTGCTTCTGACAGCCTTACGGCCACTCAGTTTCCCGCATCTCCCTCACTCGACTCTCCCATGTCCTCCGGACTCACTCCGCCGCCATGGCATGCCCGTGCTCGGGCCCAAAGCTCTTGCGCACGAGATGAGGCCTCTATTGGTAGTGCTGTTCAGAGCACCAGCGCGTATGAGGGCGGTCATAGTATTCCGAGGTGTGTAGCTATCGCTTGTGCCGGCTGTAGCAAGCTTACCAAACAAAACAGTGCTTGTACGCGCGACCCCGACGTGAGGCCTATGTAAATATACGGCCACGACTCGTGATGTCGACGGGTGCACTGGCTTTCGTGCTCGAAAGCCCTTCATCTTTGGCCAGGGTCTCTTACTGGTGGAGCCTGTTCCTACTGATCACAGCTATACTTTGTAATATATGTCTGTATTTGACCTGTATTTATAGGATGGGATCAATTTTAACCATTAAAAGAACGGTCGAGGCGTCCGCCGGCATAGACCGCGGACATCTGAGCGATGGAGTGCGATGGCGATAAGGCATACGTAAATTTATTACCGATGGATGTATCCTCACATTCTTGCGACGGACCCTCAGGATCGGTAAAACATATAATCCTCAAGTTCGCGCAGAATATTGTACAGATTCGCTCACAGTCTCTAGCTACGATGAACACGCTGCACGAGACTCTCGCTGGTGTAGGAGCGCAATCAGGAGCTGCCGCATTTGCAGGCGTTCGCTTCACACTTGCAGCTGATAGGATGCTCTGCGTAAGCCTTGAGATAAATGTCCCGTCGGAGAGAACTTACGTCTCGCCGCAGTTGCAGGTCTGGACGCCGCATGTGCCGTGGGCGTTGACGAGCACTTCGATGGTCTGGTAACGAGAGTTCGCATCAGCGCGTGCTTACGATGGCAGTAGGCGTGAAGACATACGTTGGACATTGTGAGTGTGGAGTGTGCAGTGATATGAGCGCAAATTTGTGTGGGTGTGAAGGGCGATGTTTTTGACTGTACCCCGTTTCGACCCTGTATATATACGCCAGGCGCGTTTAAACTAGCCACAGCTAAAACCTCGTTAGCGGCCCATGTGTTACTGCGGAAAGATATGCCTCACGGCTCTCAGGCTGCCGCACTAAGCTTTAGCGTTCCGGAAAACGAACCAGATTATCGTAATACACCGTATGCATCTCAGCCTAAGAGAGGAACGCGCTCGAGGTCGTGTGGTAGCATATCTATTGAAACAGGTCACAGTGCTGATAGTGGTGAGATGTGGCGCGGCCTGACGTGGCATCGTTGCAGGAGGAAGCGCGCAGTTGCACAGCAGTGACGAAACCTATTGAGATGACTGCGTGCAAGGTTAGGACAGCAAGTTAAATATAAGTACACCTTCACGAGATACTTACTCATACATTTGAACTTCATACTAAGCCGCTCCGTCCGGTCAGCATCGAACATGGCACATAACTGCCGCGCCACGTCGCTCGATTCTGGCTCGATTGAATCGACTTCTCCATCACGGCCTAAAACAAAAGAACTACAACACGCCGAACCCTCTTTCCGAGTAAGAGTGCCACATACGAAGGTTTCCCTAGAGCCCCCACCCGACACATGCCGTCGCGCCGCACTTAGTGGGACATTTTCAACGCTATACGGAAACTGTCACCCTGATTATCACCGAGTACGCTCACATGAACTCACGCGTGACTCTTACCACATCTCTTCCACGTCAGACATGACATCGGCTTGCGATACATTTTGATCACTGTCTGGGTCTCTTTGCATCGTTCTCCAAATCCGCCTGCTCACCGAAGAACGCTACGGTCCTCCTGGGCGCCGATGCGCAGCAATGACAAGAATTGCCGCGCTTACAGCTGACCGGGCCCCACGAGTCAGTCATCAGGAGCACACAAAAACTGTCTGGGAGGAGCTTACTTGTTGCCGCAATTACATCTCCCGCAGCCATCGCTGCAGGCACAGTTCGCAAGGCCGCATCCAGTCTATCAGCAAGTGAGATCAGTATCTGTTCCTGAGAGTGGCATGCAGGATGACTCACTGGTATCGTGGGCAAAGGGATACGAAGATTGTGTGGGAGAAGATCGTGGTGAGCTGGAGTCTTTCGCTCTCGCGGCACCAGATGTTTATGCAGTTAGGTCATATTATTGTGAGACACAGTATTTGTCTCAGCGCTGTATGGCCTACCCCGCAAGACTTTAGTGCCCTTTGTATAGACTCTTAACGATTGCTCACTTCGGAAGCTAGAAGAAACCAACGGCTTCGCGCTCTGAATCGATCCCACATTCAGACTATATTGATAGCTGCTTCTGTGCCCACAAACGTCAAGCATCACACGGCTATGTAGCCTGAATCAATCGAATGATTCCACAGTACTGATAGTGTGGACGTACGGCTTCGTGTTAGGACGATGCACCGAGACAGTGCTATGAATCCGAGGATGCATATGGGTTTCGTTCGGCATGTCGAAAGAGAAGCATCCAGGTCTATATTCATGAGAGAAATATATCGGCACATGTACCACGACAGACCTACCGTAAGAACCATGGGTCCTAGCAAACCTAAATGAAAGTCGATGGCGAACGGTCAAGCTATCGTTAAGCGCCAAGGCCACATGTCATGCATCATGCATCATGGCTGGTGTTCGCCCCGTTTTGGCAAATGTGTAGGTTTGACTTCTAGCTACGTCTCAGATTCGTGTCTTGGTCCATACCCACTCGAGGCAGCGGCTTGTATGTATTCTCATAATTCTATTCTCAACAAGCATGTACCTAGGAGCCAATGCGTGTGTGGCAGTTCGAAGTCATCAGGCTTTTGGAATAGACAGTCGTATTAATAATGAATATGTGTGACGTAGCTTCGAGGCTTGTTGGGAAGAGAAAATACACCCTGCAATTCTTTTCAATATATTACGATACTTACCATGCTTCACAAGCACGCTGCTGCATCCGCTCACAATCATGGTGAAGAATAAACATCTGGTGTGCCGGGAAAAGTATTTCAATTCAAATGCAATCGCAAACAGTTTGTTGTAAGTCTCTTAAGACTCCTAGTATGTAGTTTGTAGAACATATTCCTAAAAAGAATTCTCCTGATATTCATACATTGCTCCCTGTGAGGATCGAACTCACGACCTTAGGATTACTCATTCAACTGAATGATCATACCGAAATATGAGACCTACGCTCTACCGACTGAGCCAAGGAAGCATAGCCTGTGATTTCTAGCGGGATCTTGTCCGCTCCCATATCTTCTATGAGGTCACTTTCGTCATTCGTGGACGGATCAGCGGATGCCTACCAACGAAGTTGTTCGGTGACTACCACAGTCTTGTGCAGCCCCCTTACTAAATGGCAGCCTACATCTACCATTTACGACTAGAATAAATAGTGGGGGTTGGCTAGCTATCAGGTATACTCGAACCGAAGACATTCCGCGATTTCCTCTCTTGCCTGCCCATCCTTCGATCACTCTCTCTTCTCAACGTTCAACTTTCGCAGCTACCACCCTCCCCATTGGTCGAGTCGACTCTAGCACCCCCCATCCACAGCCTCTTAATCAGCTACAGTAACTCAAACTAACCTCACCTGGTACCTGACATCGAGCTGCTCGGTGGACTTATTCTCACATTTAGCAGCTGCGTATAGTAGCCGGGATCTGGGTACCAGGCGACGAGACTACCTGCAAGGACTACGGCGATACATTTCAGGTAGCTTTCGTACGACTCTTCGTTGCGTTGAAAGTAAGCCTCCAGGAGGCATCGACGACCGCCTACATCTTCAAGATGCCTTGCCACTTTGACAATGTACGACATGATTGCACTGGAGTACCCCTTTGGTAGCCCTGTGTATCATTGCTGTGGCCACGGCATGAGGTGGCCCAAAGCTTCGGTGGCCACAACGCCCCCTTTGTTCAGCGGGGTATATAAAGGGAGCGTACGATTTTGATAAGTCGAGCCTACCATGAAACTCAGCTATACTGTGAAGGCTGTGCGGTTCGCTGGTCCCACAAAGTCTCTCGACGCGCTTCCGAACGACGTCCTCGTTGATCACGTATTCAAGTATCTCGACGTCCAAGACATTCTGCGACTACGACAGGTGCGCCTTGGCCTACATGCCATTGCAGACAAGGAGTTGACCTTATCTAGGCCAGCCGTTTCTTCGACGCCCTAACCCGCCACGTCGTCGTCTGGAAGCGACTCCTACAGTCGACGTCCTCGCTCGTACCGCCACTTCTACGCCCAAAGAACCCTCCCGCGGCCGAGTCCTCGGCTCATGACCTCGAACGCATAGTGGTCTCTGCACATGCGCTCGACAAGGCCTGGCAAAATCCCGCAGCTGCTCCCCGCCAGTGGCATTTCAATGCGCACTGGTCTGTCCGGGAAATGGCAGTGGTTCCGGGTGGCGAGTTCCTCGTTGCATCGGTTTCCGACGGAGCAGACAGTGGTACGAAGGAGAACGAGTGCGCTGTTGTCGTGTACGCGATGGATACCCGGTCGACGACGGTCGTGGTCCCAGTCATTTGGCTATCGACGCCGGGGGTGGCACATGATTTGAGTGCGCGGTCTTTATGCATGGACAAAGTAGACGGGATTGCGGTGACATATGTGAATAGAGAGTGGGAGGACGTTAGATATACGGATAGTGGGTGAGCGATGCTACAAATCCTTCGCAAACTTTGCTAAAACATGCAATAGTATCGACCTTGACGCATACTATCCTTCGGACGCGGCGCATATTCCATGGGTGAAAACCACGTGTCATGTTGTGCACATAGCCCTCTCTGACCTACGTTGCGCGCGCAACAACGCAAATCTCGTCGGCTGGCTTCCCGATGCCCTGAAGCGACAAATGAAGGACGCATCTCATATCTGCACCATGCTCGGACATATCAGCTCGCAAGGCTCCCTGTCAGCCCCCTCGATCGATATGTTCCCAACTTCCGGGTCACAGGCCGTAGTTTGGTCAGTGCTACAATACCCGAATAAGCTCCTCTGCAAACGTCTCGATCTACACGACGACTATACATTCGTTATCCAGTTTTCAGAACCCGGCCCGCCATATCCGCCTGTCACTCCGTATTCTGCCAACGTAAGTTAGCTATCTCCGTCGAATATTGTATTTTTCACATCGTATTAGTCTGTCAGAGCTATCAAGCTACTCCCCAGCACAAACAAAATCCTAGTCGTCCGGCACAACACTCACGTTTTGAACGTCGAGTGGCACGACATCCCACCTGAGCTTCTCTCCGACATACCTCCGCCAGACACCTTTCCAAAAGTCATACCGACACGCAGCGCCTTCCGCAAGTTCTACAGCGGCCCCAATACCTTCGACACGGTCGACGTTGTCCTCACCGCAGACACCGAAGACACCGCGCTCGGGACAATCCACGTATACGCACATGTGTCGAACACGCCATCGTCGCCGCACCCTGGGGTGTTGCACCTCGCCTTTCCTCCGCAACCAGGCCACGTGCATCACTTCGATGACCCAGCGCGACCGCACCACACCACGCGGACGTCGCCCCTGCCAGCTCCCCTCCCGATGCCGATCCAGCTCGGCGCGGTCGAGTGGGCAGGACCGGGCGGTGTTATATTCGTGTCTCAGAAGCACTACTGCAGCGCTGGCATGTCGAAGGAGTGGATAGATGGCATACAGGGCGTTGAATGGAGGCTCCTGCGACCGTGTACGGGAGTGGAAGGGTTCGGGCGGGTGCTCTGGGCCAAGTGTAAGGCACGTGGACCCGCGGTTGAGAGGAGGCGCGGAAGAGGAGGACGCAGCGGAGTGCATATGCAGTCGATTGAAAGGGTTCTGGGTGATTGTCGGAGAATCGACCTGCCTCTCAATGTCCCAATTGGGGAGATACACAGTGTCTGGTGGGATGACACGACTGGAAGGTTGGGCTGGTGTCAAGAAGAAACCAAAGTACGCATCATCGACCTAGTCGACCGATCTTCCAAGTATTTCTAGTCATTCGTGAGAATATCTCTGAATGTCGCACTGTCGTAACTTGTTAAAAATCATGCACGCGCGGAGGGTTACTGCGAAGCATAGAAATCAGTGTCATGTGAAAACGCTAGCAGTTTACTGTTTCTTACCGTGCTAATATTCTTCAAGCACACAGAAGAAGCTGCGGGGCTTCAAAGCTTCAACACTGCCAGTGAGCGCAAGTAAACGTTTGACTAAGCCCAGCTGGACATTGTACTAACTTCTGGATGTACGGAACACTCAGGTCCGTACAATGTGATTATCGAGCTCGAGTAGAATATCCCGCCTACGTACTGATGTGATGCTGGAAAAATGACGGACGACGTTGACCGCCAGCATGAATCCATCTTACAGCTCGTGTTGTCCCCTTGAATAAGACAGACATTTTTTGAAGAGCTGAAGTCTGCCCTGGCCGCAAGTTCCATTTGAACGCGTGAAGTGGAATATAGTGCATATGTTATGCATTGCAAAGAAAGAAGGAACGACGGAAATGGCGCAAATTTATATATACTAATCAAATATGCCCATGCAGAGCAACGAGATGCTGGTAGGTGCGGTAAATACGGGCGCATAATTGAAACTAGATGGTCGACAAGGACATGAGTCACGCAAAGCCGTCAGCCTGCACTTTGTATAACTTGGCATACGGTCCGTCTGATCTGAGTAGGTCGTCGTGCTTCCCATATTCAACAATCTTTCCATGGTCCACGCATCTAAGAAATATCCACGAATAAGGCGCACATCTCAGCAAAGACAGCGAGATAAACTCACAGAATTAGGTCAGCATGCTTCGTCAGATGACCAAACCTATGTGTCACGCAGATCATCGTGCGGCCAACTTGCTGTGCCCGCAGCTTCTCAAACAGCTCAAATTCTGCGACGGGGTCCATTGCGGACGTGGGCTCGTCGACGATGACAAGCTTGATCTTTCCAGATTTGAGCCGCATGAACGCCCGAGACCTATGGCGCATTAGACGAGAGTATACAGGTGCAGACAACTCGAGGATACTCACGCCGCGAGCCTCTGTTTCTCACCGCCTGATATACCCGTGTAATGGTCAATCTTCTCCATCTCGGTCTTCAGAGGGCCGTCCTCAAGGTAGCCCATGGGTGTTACCGAAGAGATAGGTTGGAGGACAGTCTCCCACTTCTCCGGCAAGCGCTCGATCAAGTCCAGGGAGCCGCCTAGACTGGATGCTTCGTGAAGACGATAGTCGTCGGAGATATCGTATGGATCACCCAGGGCGATATTCTCTGAAATAGAAAGAGGAAGGAGCGTGTACTCCTGGGTGAGAAGGGCAGTCGCCTCCCGAAGGTCCCCCGGCCGGTACTCGGACGCGTTGACGCCGTCGAGGAGGATCTCGCCACCGGTAGGCTGATAAAACCCAGAGAGGAGATTCGCGATCGACGTCTTGCCGCTTCCGTTCTCGCCCACGATGATCACAAGAGACGAGGGCTTGATGGAGAAGTTGACGCCATCCAACGCGAGCTTATTCTCGTCGCTTCCCGGGTATCGGAAAGACACGTTTCTGTGTGCACGCGTGAGCGAGACGTTAGAGAAGGGTATGTGGAACATAAGCATACCTGAACTCTATCTCCATTCCCCGCTGCTCCTTCTTGTCCGGCAGAGGGTACCTTAATTTATTCGAATTGGCTTTCAGTCGAGCCTCGTGTGCGTCGATCCTTGCGTATATGGTTCGAGTCGATTCCAAACTGCGGTACAGGTTAGCCATGACGTATGAGAGACGGCTAACGGAGTGGCGAAGGCTGAATGAAACTTGTTCAGTCATGGTGAAAGATGAGAGGGAGGCGTGACGTGGGTCTAATATGGCTTTAACAGCGATGAACGTCTAGGAAGTGGTCAGAAAGAGGACGGGAACTGGTATAGGCGCTGCATACTATGGGGAGATGTTCAATAGAGTCAGCGAACAGCTTGTTGGCCCAATTGCGCTGGAACGGCAGAATGTCGTACGGGACCTCGTCTGAGATATCGCCGAGAGTCTGTCTCGCGTGCCTGTACTCTACAGCATCTTTGCAATTAGAGTCATGTAAGCCGAGCCCGTTGTATTCACGTACCATCAACGAGATGGTGACCAAAAGCACCGCTGATCAATTCACGACGATAGGTATACTCTGTCGCGATGGTATATAGCGCTCGCATCCGGAGGTAGACAGGATTGACGGTTTGGATTATGTACGCTGCACAGGTAGCGTCAGCG